GAACGTGTCCTCAAAATACTCCCCTTCGGCCACTGCTGCTTCAAAGGTCTCAGGACGGCGAGTCTTCACAAAGCTCTGCACGTCCTCTCTCAGACCACTCATGAAGAAGTGCCGCAAGGTGGACTGTAGATTGGGGTCCTGGGAGTGCCGCACGAGGGTGCACAGCGCGTCGGCGTAGTCACGCACACTCTCCTTCTCTCCCTGCATCCGCTTGGTCAGGGCTGCCAGCATCCTGCTGGGCTCCAGTCCAAAACGTCCAATCAAAGCTTTCTTGAAGCGGAGCCAAGTCATGGGCTCCTGAATGTTGTACCAGTCCAGCGCCTTCCCTTTCAGATGGAGGCCGGCGAACGCCATGGCCTGGGCGTCGCTCCAGCTGTAGAGGCCCTTCGCGCTCTCAACCGTGCGGATGAAGGTCTCTGGATTCTCCTTTGCAGAACCGGAGAACTTTGAGACAGCCACCTGCATCTTGATGCCCCTTGATCACGTGTGCCCCCTGCCCAAGGTCTGCTCACGCGGCCTATCATAGCGGGGTGACTGTAACACAGGGTTACGTGGGTTGGCAGGGCGCCCGCGCTTCTGCTGAGGGTGCGGTGGTAGGCATGTGGTGGCGGCGCTGTCTCGGAAGAGCTCGGAGGGCGTCCTGATCGCTTCACACGGTTACTTTGGGGTCGTGCAGGGCACAGCAACCACGCACTTTCCCCGATTCGGCGCCAGCAAAAAGGTGGCGCGGGTCCAGAAGGTTCCGGCCGGCCTGTTTTGTCTTTGTGTGAGAGCGGGGAGCCTCGTGAGAGCGCTGGGGTGACTGCCGAGCGCTGGTCGCAGCGGCAGGATCCTTCTCCTTCGGGCGGGGCTGGGGCGGCGGGCGCCTGTTATTACACAGGGGCACTCCAGCACAAAGGGAGAGAAAAGATGATCTTGTCAGGGCATCGAGGCTCCTTATATAGTCTGGCTGCTAACCAGCTGTCGGCAAAAAAACGAACGGGCGAGGGAAAATCTGTGACAGGTGGGTGAAAAGTCAGTCTGCTGATATGAAAATATCTGCAGGCTGTTTGAATATCCGCGGGCGCGCTTTGATTGATTCGATCGTTCGAAAAAGTAAAATTTGTGGGTTGGGAATTGGGAATTGGGATGGCAGGTGAACTGTTCTGCTGTCACAGAGAGTGGTAAGTGATGGGCTTCACATGACTTGTATTGGAAGGCGCAGGCTGTTGCATTGCACATCCAGACGGAAGCCATATGATTCGGTTGACCCCCCCACACACACAAACACCCACACACAAACCGACACAACTGAAGCTGCGGGCCACGGCGAGCAGCCACCAACCCAACCTGACCAAAGGGGGCAGCTAACGCAGGAGCAGGGCACCACACAGGCGCCTGCCGCATTCGGCCATCGAGGGCGGCGGCGGCGAGTACTGCACCCACTCAACCCGAACTGGGCACTGCGGGAGGGCGAGCAAGAGGCCGACACCAAAACCTTCCTCGAGAGGATGCAACGCAAATACCGAGCGGCCAAGTCTGCCTCTGCGAGGGCAGCCCTGGCGACATGCCCCCCGCCGTCCTGGTCAGAGGGCCCTGCAGTTGTCCACCACTGGCTGGACATGGGCTGCAAGCACCCCGATGTCATCTACCCGCTCTATAACCCCAGCGAAGTGCCGCGCCGCATTACCTCTGAATGCCTCCGGACGGGGCAAGTGTCCGCCAAGAAAGCGAAACGCGAAAGTCAGGAGGAGTGGTTGGTCGAATGGGAGGACTCAATAGTACGTAAAACTCACCTGGATATGTACCGCCTCAAAACATACAAGCCCGTTGCGGTGGCGGAGCACGACGCGCTTGGGGAACCATTTATGGGGGGCGCCGGGGTGCTAGTCACTTGGGAACCCACGTGGGAACCGAAATCGACATTTGAGAAATTATTCCCGACGGTGGGGGCAGAGCTGATCGCCAACTACCTACGGGAGAAAGAACGGGCAGCTGTTGCTGCCGCAACAATGGCAGCTGCGTGGCCACCTCCGGATGTCAGCACCGAGGAGAGGCTAGCACAGCAAGGGCTCGTAGCGCCCCCACGACCCGCCTGGCAGTTAACTCGCCCAGACGCCCTCAGCAACATCACCCTGGACACGATGCCGGTACACCCTGAATTGGATGTCGAGGCGCCAGTGGGAACCGATGCCCCTTTCGTCCGCATTGAGCATCCCGCCCCCCACGCGACCCGCTCCTTGGCACACATCCATGACCGGACTGGCAGATGGTTGGGCACCATGACGTGCGAGCGGTTGGCACACCTGCGCGACAGGTTCACCGCCGCCCGGGCGGGCAGGGCACATGTGTTTCAAGAGCTACAGGCGGGCACGTTCGAAGAGGAACTGGTCGGAACTGCTCCGTCGGAGCGCACACACTAGAACGATGAAGGAGGACCAGATGCAACGAACGTATGGTGGCACCCACAACGAACTCGTAGCGGCAGTGCAAGCTGCCACTGGGGCAGATACAGAACTTTTTGCCTCCCCCCTAGACGTACATCGGAACATGCCCAGCTACCTCAGCACGCACCCCAGGGACCAGCTGTTCGGAGCCGGCATGGATGCCTACTCCCACCGATGGGTGGGGGCATGCTTTGCACACCCCCCAGAGCAGCCTGAAGAACTGGAACGAGCGGTGCGTTGGGCATTGGCCAGCGCCCGAGAGGCGGACCGCCATACCCCTGTCTTGACGGTCATGCTTCTGCCCGACAATGCTGCACTCACTGCCGTGGACGCCGCGCCCCACGCTCGATGGCTCGCCTACCCGGAGGTGGTCGACTTGGCATGCTTCCCCCCGTCAGTGGCGCCACTGCTTGCAGCCAACGACTGGACAGGCGCCCCCCCGCGGTTTGGGTCCCGGCAATGCACAGGACACCGCCTAGTCGCCATCGGCAACAATATTGGGCGCGAGCGCATCCTCCGGCGGGACTTTGGTGAACTGTGGGCCGACCTACATCGTCGGATACAGCTGCCGGTGTCATTTGGTCTCCCTTGGCCATGGCAACAAACTGATGGCCAGGGCCCGCCACGCTACAATGAGCAGGCCTATAATGCTGCTGTGATACAACGTGCTGAGCGATACGAGCAGGCACGCAAAGAACTGACCGAGCAGTATCGCCGACCCCGCAAGCACGCAACTGCAGCCAGCGACACTAGTAGCCTATGGCGCTGGCCCCCCGATGGACAGGCATCCACCCTGCCGCCTGTTGCGCAACTGCAACAACTGTACGGCAGCCAACAACACCGGCCACGATACGAGTGGCGGCTTGCGTTTTTCACAGACGGTAGTGTGCAAGCGACAGAAGAGGCAGCCCTCGTGGGAGCCGCTGTATGGCACTCGACCTTGGGGGCCTACAAGATCAACACTAACGGGGACGGTCCCGACAACACCATTACCAGGGCAGAGCTGGCCGCCATCTTCTGCACGGTGGCACAACGGCTACCACGTACTGACGAAGGCGTGATATTCACCGACAGCCAGGCTGCTATCCACCTTCTACATCGAGCAGTGCACAAACCCCACACATTGGAGGGCCACTTGCACAAAGAGCTACTGCTCAATACGGCACAGATACTCGTTGAGCGAGCAAATGATGGGGTGCGCACACGCATCCTGAAGGTGAAAGCCCACAGTGGAGTGACAGGCAACGAAGAGGCGGACGCTGCCGCGAAAGCTGCGGCTGGGGCAGATGAAACCCACGATTTCGTTATGCCAGCCCACAAGCCCTTTGGCGGCCAGTGGCAGCCGGCCTTCTTTGAGCCCCCGCCAGAAGGGGCAGAGGGGCCGGCCAGTCTCAGGGCAGTGTCCAATCTCACCAGTGCTCTCCGTAAGGCCGTACATGCCAGCACCAAAACCGGCACCAGCAAGGTGGGCATCTATGCGGCGGCCGCCCAACAGATGTACGATGGGCAAGAAGACGATCGGGCACTAGGAAAGGAAAGCAATGCCTTCTGGCGCACTGCACGAGTGGTGGCTGGAGCCCGCCGCACACTCTTGAAGCATAGAACAGGCCAATTCTGGACGAAAAAGGAAGCCTTCCAACGGGGAGCGCCCTACCCCCCAGGCAAGCATGGGCAACCCATTGCCACGAACAGCCGGTGCCCACTGTGTGGTGAACCCGACTCTGGAGGGCATGTTCTGCTACGATGCACCCACCCTCAAATGAAGGCCATGCACATTCACCGGCACGACAGCGCAGTGCGCATGATACAC